TTTTTATCATCTTTGGAAAAATTCTGTAATCAAAAGGTTAAAATTCGTATAAAAAATATATTTACTTATGAAATACATAATGAAAAGCATATTCTAATCGATAATTACAAGTGACATTTATTATTCGGTCTAGTTGAATTAAATTTTGTTTCTCTCTCACTCTTTCTTCTAAGATTATCGTTTGTTTATTTTTTGAAGTCAATGCATAGAAATGATACTTAATCTTCAAGTTAGTTATTTAAGAACTAGGCTAATATTAATATCAGTTTGTATGAAATAAATTCTAAAATAATACAAAAAAAGAAATTGAATAAATAAAATACTAATTGTCCAAAAGTCGAAGAAAACAAAACCCAAGTTCAAAGTATTTTAAAATTTAATCAAAAGATGATTGAAATTCATAAGGTTTAGAATCAATAGTTAAGTCATCATCTCGAAATAATACATAAACATCTCTTTCTAAATTTAATGCTTGATGTTGAGTATAAAAATGATCAATATCTTCATTATATATTGGACCATATAAAATAGGTTGTTTTGGATGTAATGCATAAAATTTTTGTCCACCAAGAATATCTCTCATATAAGCAAGAAGATCATTTTGTAAAACTCGATCAGTTCCTGAAGGTGTATATTGAAATAAAACATGATGTATAAGATTATTACGAAATAATTTTTCACTACCACGAAATACATGTATTTCATAACCTTCAATATCAACACGCAATAAATAAATATCTGTAGAAAAATTAAATTGATTGAAATTTGTTGTTTCTACAGTATATACATCTGATTTATCATGAATTTCATCACGAGATATTTGACTACTAGTATTCAAACTCATATAAATTTGACTTTTTGATGGTAAATCACTAACTGCTTTTGGTACTAAAGTAATACGTGATTCAAATGAATTTAATTTAATTGACATTCGAAGTAATGAAATTTTTATTGGATCAACTTCAAACATATAAACTTGACATCCACATGCAGCAGCATAGAAACCAAAGTGTCCTATAGATATAAAAAATATCAAAAGATTTCAAAAAAAAAAAAAATATCTAAAATTGAATGAATAATACCCAAAGAAGCACCAACATCAATAACGAGTGTTTTTGGATTTTGTTGACATTTATCATAAAGTTTTATATTATCAAGTAGTTTTGCTTGTGCTCGTTTGCGATCCACATCAGCTTCATATCCTTCGTATATATATAATTTATAGGACGGTTGACGATCCTTGATTTCAACAATCTTTCGAATTATATGTCTTTGTTTAACATTTAGTTCATGAGAACGTGATTTAACACTTTCTGTTAAATTTGTTAAAGAATTAGCATAGAAATAATTCGCAGCAACTAATAATGTTATACAACCAAGTACAAATAAAATTCGTCGAGGTCGAACTAATTGAATATATAACATTCGACCAATATAAGATTGTTTTGTTTGTTTATCAACACTCTATAATAAAATATTCAAAAGAAAATTAAAATATTTATCATAGGTTTTTTTTACTCTATTTAATGTCGGCATAAACAAAACTATTCTAACTTTCTTTTAAAGTTTTTCGATATGATGTTAAAGAAAAAAAAAAAACAAAGTAACGCAATTTGTAATGCATAACTCACCCACTTACGTGTTCGACTACGAGCAGGCATCGATTGTTCTGTGTTTGACAATTCACTAATGGCTCGTCAATTGATTCGTTTTCTTTAAATAACATTTTTGTTCTTTTGTTTACATTAACAACGCATAAAGAGAACAATTTTATAGAAAATAAAGATGCATTAACATCTTTTCAAGGCTATCGATATGCATGAAGAAATTGGAATCTAAGTTTTCTGTACCAATAGGATGAGCTCGATCAAATGGAAGAACGAGTTTTCATTTTTATTCTTGAGTGAAACCAAAAAATTTCTTTTGTCTTCTGTTAGAAATAAAATATTTTCTTTATGAATAACAATTACGATAGTATCTCGTGAGTGTGTTCATTGCATTGGATTAGTCTTATTGACTAAATTCTAAAATTACATCTAAATTCCTACAGGATAATATTTTTGAATTGAAAATAAGAATAAAGAAATCAGTTTATCTATTCATATTGACAATAATTTATAACTAGAAAAATATTATGTGAAAATAAACGTTAAAAATTCATTATTGATATCAACTTGTAAATATGAAACACTAAATTTCTATCGTGTTTTGGCACTATTAAAAAAAAGATGATGGTTTTCTCATCATTAAATGGTACAAAAACAAACACTAAACACGCAGCTTTTCTTCAATTCATTATCCGAAATGGAGATAGAAATTTGAGAAAAAAAAAAAACTATTCTATTCGTTGTTTATTCATGTTTAATCAATTATCGCTATTTCCGTTCATTGCTAAATATTGATAAATAATCAACAAACAATGAATGATACAACATTGAAGAAATTTTATTTTTATATCAAAATTTTTTATTGTTATTTCTACCGTAGAAGTTTTTTTTTCGCTCATTGAATGATATATTTGATTAGAAGACGGCATCTCAAAGATTCTCGAAGAAAAAAAAAAACTCAAATTTACAATTTTATTGAAATAATATATAATAACAGATATGACGAACAAGAGTATAAGAATTCTATGTATTAATCTCGATTCAATCGATTATCATAAGATTTATTATCTAATTTTAAGATCAACGATGTCATCTAATAAGGTTAACCTTACTTTATTTTCTTTTCGTTTTAAAATAAATGTAATTACTCTTACACATAATACTAATAAAATTGGTGTTTTTATACAACAAACACAATTAGATCTAAGGAAGGGTATGCATTAGAGGCAAGTACAAACTTGTATTGTTTGCACAAATTATAATAACATATCTTCTATAATTGTACGACATAAACGATTTCAGTAAGTTTCGTTTGGTTTTGTAAGTATGGCTTTTATTTAATTGATTTCTATTATTTATAAGTTCAATTCAAGTATGTCACTTTTACTGTAATTCGGAAGATTACTTGATAGCTGAAACACAGAGGTAAACCTAAATCAGTAAAAATGCCACGACTGTATCCATCAAATATATCAAAAGAATTTCAGTTCCTGTCATATCATAAAATTAAAGGTTTGCTGCTCCAGTCAGATTGGGTGTGGATCGTCTTTGACCACTCACATCACATCCTTACACTTGTTCATGAATTACAATCTCACTCTGGCATATATTCTAATCTCGTTTCAATGTGCATAAAACAGTTGGAATATTTTCTAGCAATGCGGAAGCAGGATTACAATGTGTACGACTTGATTGAGTAATTACATGGTCTTTTGAAGTGATGCTTCGAGAACAAGATTTGAAAGTACAGACATCAATGAGTGAACTTTTTCTAATTTTCATGTCTTATTCCATGTAAATAATTACTATATAAAATGGTCTCTTGAGATCTTTTAGTTATTAATTAATTAAAGTTTGTATTGATAATTTAAAATATAGTATGTTTACTATACTTGAGTTTCTATATTTATATCATCAATAGAATAGAACTTATAGTGAAAGATTGTAGTAAATAATCAATTAAAATGTTTTCAATTTGGATATCATCTAAATTTTACAGGCAATAATTATTTGAACACGAAAATAATTTGATTTATTGAGATCATTTTCAATGTTATCAATTGAAAAGAATATTTCTATGTTTCATTGTATTTTCTAAAAAAAAGTCATTTTCTAGATGAGAGATAAATTGCTGATTGATTGATGAATTTTATCTATAAGATCAATTCTAATGGAAAAAAAAAACTTTCGAACTTGTTGAGTGAACTTTATAATGGTTTCAATCATTTTTCTTTATTTGATAAAGTAATGCTGAAGAAAGAGGGCAAGAACTAATAAAACAAACTACAAATGCAAAACATAATAGAAGTATTGTTTTGATTGTATTTCGCTTTTTTTTCTGTTAATAGCATATATTTCTTGTATGTTGAAAGATTTTTGTCTTGTTTTTATCAATTATAAGTGTAATTTGTTTTGTTACTTTTCCATTAGCAAAATTCACTTAAAAAAAACAGGAGACATTGAAAACAAGTCGATAGTATTTCATTTTCACATGAATTTTTCATTTTCATTTCGAAAAATATTATATGAACTATGGTCGAATAACAGTATCGATCGGGAGAAGATTAATTGTAATATATGAATTTCTTGATCTATTCTATCATGTGACAAAATTATATGCTATTTAGATTAATTAGAATTTTTTTTTGTATAAATTATATTTCAGTTTTTTTTAGACATGAATATTGAACTACAGCATCAATTGTATTTGGCTGTAGTCTGTCTCTTGTAAGTCTATTACAAACAAATTTTTTTTCAATATTATCTTTTTTTCGATTTTTCTAATAATAGAATTCTATTTCAATCAATCCATAGTACGTATTCAAATATTTTATTTATCTCAATTACAATAAATTAGTCTGTATTATTTCGATATTTGGCAAAGAATACTTTGAAGTGAACTTCATCGACTAGTTTTATAAGAAAAACTTTCACAGTTACGTTCATCTACCTTTAATAGATTCTTTTAGTTATTATTAATTCTTGCATTTTCTTTACTGACGAACATTAGAATTAAACAGATTTGATCATTTGAAATATATGCTGATTATGAATTATTTTCTAATAATCAGGAAGAATAATTCTAATGGTTTGCCACTGTGACCATTTATACATCGAATCGTAAGAAAGTGTCTCATTTTGCTCGTGTAACATTCAGAGTAAGAGTACCCTAGACGAACTTCTTTTGGTCTGCGCAGGAGATACTTGAGAGTGTTGATCAAGAGAGTCATGCGCTATGGACAAATCTTGAGATCTGCACAGGTCAAGAGTATTAAAAAAAACAGTTCGCCTAGGGTTCTTAATTGAAACCTGCAATAAATCTTCATTGAATAATGTCAGAATTGTGACATTTTCATACTCGTTTTGAAATATCTCATTATGTGTGGAACATAAATCAATCGAACTCTTGTGCTTCTCACGGAACATTGACCTACGTAAGAGAAACGTTCCTACTTTGGCCAATATATCAATTACAACGAAAGCAAATAGAATCTAGAAAGATTCATGGGAGGGTTGTAACTTCACTTACGATAACTGTCATCACTCATTATCATACCCATACCTCCATAAAATAGTAAACATTAAACAGTTGAGAATTTCATGTGAAACGCTTTAAAGCTCTGACTTGTAGAGCAACAAATGAATAAGTCATAACAATCATTTTCGATAATTATAAACATATGCTTTATTATAACAGAGCTTAGCTTCAAAATGTAACATTTCATTTTCTCAAGTGTAATTCATCTTTCCCATGACTGGGTTAGAGAAATGTACCAGAAAAAGCAAGGTTTTAACATACAAAAGAGCTAAACTTTTTTAGTCAACAATATTCTTTACTACATTCTGAGCGCCATTTTTCTTACCATTGTTATCAGTCAATAGAACGTAAAATTTTACAGCTACGTTGCCCCATTTTGACCCAATCGTATTCTTTGTACTGAGAAAAGTCAAGCAAACATAATTTTCGCTCCATCAGATTGACATACTCAGACCCACCATGAGCTAGAGTATGAATGCCCAGAAGCAAATACAGTCATCAAAAAGTGTATCTTTAATATGTGAATTTATTCGCTTGAGGATTAAGAGAGAAGATTCATGAAATCATGATCCAAAATGCTGAAAGTTGAGTACTGAAAAAATTGTCATCCTAAACTAATAATCGTGTGCAAAAGAGTGCAAAAAATGGTCGATAGGGAGAAAATTTTAAGTCTAGGAAGTGTAATCTTCAAGAGGTATAGTCACCAGACTTGTTTCTCGTCGAATATCAATCCTTGAAATACTGTTTTGTTTGTGAAAAAACGAAGTTCTTTCTTCGTCGTCCAATATGTGGGCTCGAATACTTGATCGGAACTACTAATATTTTATGTCAAAAGATGCATCTTGTGATGTTCTTTAATATATTGGAAATTCCTACTGTGTCCTGGATATGTAAGGTGTTAAAAGGGTCAACAAGTACGGAAAAGTATCAGAAAATCACTACAAAAAAATTGATATTTGAATTATTTTAATGACTATTATACAGGCTGATCACTGCGAATAGAAATGTCTTCTAGAAAGTTTTGAGGAATGAGCACCGTTCTTTCGTTTTTCATATAATAGTAGTAGTTCCGATTAAGTATTCGAGCCCACATATTGGACGACGAGAAACAAATCTGATGATTATAACTCTTGAAGACTACACTTTCCAGATTTAAAATTTTCTCTCTAAAGCCCATTTTTGCACTCTTTTGTACATGATTATCAGTTTAGGATGACAATTTTTTCAGTACTCGACTTCCGGCATTTTGGATCATGATTTCATGAATCCTGTCTCTCAATCCCCAAACGAATAAATTCACATATTAAATATATACTTTTTGATGACCATATTTGTTACTGGGCATTGATCTGACCCATAGTGGATCTGAGTATGTCGAAGTGATAGAGCAAAAATTATATTTGTTTGGCTTTTCTCTGCACAAAAAATACTATTGGTTCCAAATGGGGAAATGTAACTATAAAACTTCACGATCTATTGACTAGTAAAAGTGCTAAGAAAAGTATTGGTCCGAGTGGATCAAAGCGTATTTTTCTTATACCTCTTTGAAAGTATATATATCAAACAACTTAACGATTCAGTCATAGCGACTTCTGTCGATATTTGTCGTTAAGAAGCCAACTTCAGCCGAAATAACAACGTCAAAGGACGATTGAGTGCTCGAAGACATCCTCAGTTACAGAGAATTCATTTCAAGAATATTTGACTTCAACAATATGCATTCATAATAGATAGTTCCTTCTCTTTTTTTTATCTAGAGTGCAGAATATATAGTTTTAAAATACGTCTGTGCGCTACGTTACGATGACTATACTGAATAAATCGGTGATGCTTATTTATCAGTAATTTGTGTTAACAAATGATGATTTTTAGTATAGTTCATCTTTAATTCTGGTGCGAGTTCAAAAAAAAGGGCTTCGATTATTATACCAGAAATGTCGGAAAATTATTGGCAGAGTCAGAAAATAATTCTATGGGTAGAGAGCAGAGCAAGGTGAGTATTCCTCTAAAGCTGAAAAGAGAGTTACTCTTCCAATATTACTGATAGATCGTTCCAATTCTAGGTGAAAGGAGTCAAAGGATTCTGACCAGTACTTCGATTAATTACATTCACCACTCCTTAACTTCGTCATTACACAAAACGTATTTTCAATTCAAGAAATATTTGACCTGAGACCCAAAATGCCGTGGGTCAAAATTCCTATAAACACATGACACATACAGGGAGCGTCAAAATGTTGTTTCAGAGGCTAGCAATTTACCTGTAAAAGACATACACAATAGATTTTATACTATAATAGAGTTCGTCGAAAATAAGACACATCAGTAGGACTTCATATACGTTATGATGAGTTTTCGCTGTGATATTCTAGAATTTCTTTTAATAGATTTTATTTTTGTATAAAATCAACTACACATGACATTTACAAGTAGAGTAATATTCCTTGGGAAAAAGTTTTTACATACGTTGTGCAAGAGCATTTTATAACGACAAGTTCATTGGACAAACTCTTTTTTTCAAATATTTTCTTAAAAAACATTAGCTGATTTAATAGGCTAACACAAGGTTCGCCAACAGATAATTTGCATTTTCATCGGTTTCCATATTGCTGAATGAGTTCATAGCCGAAAACGAGTCTGAATCAAATATGATCCATTGTATATATAACATCTGATTATAAATATTTAGTGTATGACTAAATCGATTGGTTATTATCTCAGTTGATTACCAAGTCGATGAAATCTGTTGTGTGCCGAAAACAGATGCCAACAGAAGAAGATTTCATCTGTATTAATTTTTACACAAAAGCAAACTTACGACGGTACTATAGTCTTTATATCTTGTTCGGAGGTTCAATAGTTAAATTCAGATATATCCATGGAAAGATGTGGTATATGGATGTAGGTGGGTGTCTCTTCTTTACATTGACACTCACACACCCATCAGAATCGATGAGAAACATCATTGGCGAAAATGAAGTAATACACTAGGAATTGTCCAACAAAATCTGTCTCCAAATATCAATGGATGAGTCACAATTAAGATTATTGAAATGACCTGTCTAATCCTCGGAATTGGATTATGTTTAATCCTTGAAGGGTCCAAAACTAAAAGGTATCCGGACTATCCAAACTCACATGGCATCTCTTTCCCTCTTATACATTAGTGAAATCTAGCCAATACTGATCTCTATTTTTGTGAAGTATTTTTCATAAGTTAGGTCGATTGATCTGATAAACTAATGCATATTGATGAAACGTCTTATTAACCAATAGAAATTAAGGAGAAAATTTGATTGTTTGAAATAAAATCAACAAAATTCATATTAATTGTTTCACAATTCGAAAAAGCATCGAATCATTACTCAAATGTCGTAGCTAAAGAGAATGAAATTTTTTTTTCAGCATTGTCAAATACAAGGAAAACGCTAATTTTTTCATCTCGCAGATGACTCACAAATCAATTGTTTAAAAAAAATCTTACTGCTCAAGAGTGATTATTGGCAAAGCCATCTGAATAGGATGAGACGTCTAGGATTATTTGAAAAAAGTAAAAGAAAGAAGATCTTATTATGTGATCTAAACTTTTTCTTTGCTATCACATGTAATCCTAGTAGGAAATTGTAATCTTTGAGATAAAGATGAGGATCATTAGACTCAGCAAATTCTAATGAAAAACTTGAGAGATATAATGCAAATATATTGTTTGTTATTGTAGCACAATATACGGTAATATGTCCAACAGCCGTTTGGAATAGTACATTCACGGTGATTGCAGGTATATCTGGATTTGGAGGAAACACGGCTGTCCTATTAAATGGTCCTATTGATGTATTTTTCGCTGAAAATAGCACATTTTATGTCGCTGATTACTATAACAATAGAATTCAAAAGTTCAATGGTGGATCACAAACAGCAACAACAATTACCAATTTATCTCTTTCTAATCCGAGTAGTGTTCATGTTACCAATAATGGCGTATTATACGTTTTGGATACCAGTAATTATAGAGTTCTTAAATGGATTAACAATGTTGTTACAGTAGTGGCTGGTGGTCGTGGTTCTGGCACAGCACTAAATCAAATAACGACGAGTTATGCAATGCAAGTTGATGCTAATTTCAATATATATGTATCAGAATATTCAAATAATCGAGTCACTTTATGGACTTCTGGTAATCCAAATATCAGTCAAGTGGTATGTTTTTTTTTGACTCATTATTTGTTCTCTATCTAGATCTTTATGTTAGGTGGCTGGTGGATATGGAGCTGGCAGCTCATCAGAAAAACTTAATGGTCCGTACGGAATATACGTTGACAACAGTAGTACATTATTTATTGCCGATGCCAACAATCATCGAATTCAAAAATGGCTTCCCGGTTTGTATATTTTGTTTCATATTATTGAATATTTTTCTATTGACTGAGTTGTTTCTAGGTGCAGTTGTTGGTACTACTGTTGCTGGACAAAGTGGTACTGCTGGTAGCTGGTCATATCAATTAAATTTTCCAACACATGTTATGATGGATCAATATGGTTATCTGTATATAATGGATGCTAATAATATGAGAATTCAAAAATGGTTTCCAGGAGCAACGTATGGAATAACTGTTCTATCATCGAATACTATGAGCGATCCACGAGGAATACGTTTTGATCCTTATGGTAATATAGTCGTGGCTGACCTTTCTATGGATCGAGTCATTTCATTTGCCATGGTTTGTCGTAAGTACTGATTTAAACTATTTTTACGTTAAAACAATTGAATAACTACATATATGTAAATATACGCAGATAAACCAAGATATTGAAACTAAGATTTTCCACACTATTGACTCATAATAAGAAAAATCCTATGAGCATAAGAAGAAGCTTTAATTTTTTTTTGATTTTTATTTTTTAAATGACTTTGATAAAGTTTTTAGTAGTAAGTTATTGCAAATTATATTACACGTATAACATTATTACACTTAAAAAAATAAACTCAAATAATGAAAACATGATCCTCTAATATTTTTCTTCACAAGTTTCTACAAATATTATAAGTACAATATGAATAGTATATTGTATGTAAGTACAGGTTAACTAAATCGAAGGTGCATATTGCACTTTTGGAGAAAAAGAAATAAGACTTAAAAATGTAAAATATCATGAAATTTTAATAAATGTAATCGACAATTGTTTTATATGCATATAATTGAGATGTATAAATATCCTTCTTCTCTTCCCATATTCTCATTTTTTTTTAATTGCAGCACCAAACGCATCAACAACTGTAGCACCAACACGTAAGTCTTTCATTTTGATCTATACTCATAAACTGAAAAAAATAAACTTAATAAATAAACAGTCAATGATAACTTTGAATAGATTTTTGCATTTGTCTTTTATTAAACGTTCAAAATCATATGCATGTTACGGCTTGATGAATTCTCATTCTATCATGTAGCAGCAAAAACTACATAATCACACAATTTGCTATAGATTAACACATTTAACTTAAATCTATCACTAAATTATAGAATATCTAATACTTATTTTTCTTCTTATAAATAGCGCAATCAGTTACTCCAGTATGTCGAACAGCTGTGTGGAATCAAACATTTTCAGTCATAGGTGGAGTGTTAGGAAATACAGGAACGACACCACCATTACTCAACACTCCTCATAATATTTATATAGATATCTATGGAACTCTGTACGTTGCTGATTGTACCAATCACAGGATTCAAAGATTTCCATACGGTATAAATCAGATTAAGATGTTAAAAAATAAAAATGTCAGTGTCGTTCATATTTAGGCTCAAGACAAGGTACAACAGTGGCTGGTATATCAGGTAGTCCTGGTTCCAGTTATTCCGAGCTTTACTATCCAACATCAATCTATGTTGACCCAAGCAATACAATGTATATATTAGACTGGACTTATTGCAGAGTATTGAAATGGTTACTAGGGGATCCACTTGGTTTTGTTGTTGCCGGTGGTCATGGATGTGGTGGATCATTAACTCAAATAGACAATAGTTACGGTATGTTTGTTGATAATCAAAGTAATATCTATATATCCGAATACCGAAATCATCGAGTGGTCAAATGGATTCCAACTAATACCACATCTGGAATCTTGGTATTGCTCTTTGATGATTACAGAAACTTATGTTCTTTTTTTTTTGTTTCATTCTAGGTTGCTGGTGGATATGGTATTGGTAGCACTCCAGAAAAATTAAATTATCCATGGGGAGTATATGTCGACAGCGGTCAGGGTGTATATGTCGTTGATCGTTCAAATCATCGAGTTCAATTCTGGGCATCTGGTGAGTAATATATATATATATATATGTAGCAGTTAATATAATTAATTTAATCTATGAATATTAATATAGGAGTGGTGTCAGGTGTTACTGTCGCCGGTATGAATGGTAATGCAGGTCCATGGTCTTATCAATTTAGCAGTCCAACTGCAATCACTTTCGATCCAGATGGCTATATGTATGTTTTGGATACTGGTAATAATCGAGTTCAACAATGGTGGCCTGGAGCTGCTTATGGAAAAACAGTAATGTCGGCATCACTCAACAGTGCATATGGATTACAATTTGATCGCAGTGGAAATATGATTATCTGTGATACAAGTAACCATCGAATTGTATCTTTTAGTATGACATGCCGTAAGTATTCATATATCTATATATATGTATCTTCACATAATAGATAGTTATACAAATGCTTTAATTCGAATATTAGATTAGAAAAGATCTAATACATAAACTAACTTTCAATTGAAACAAAAATCTTATAGGATAACTACTTTTGTAATAAAGATAAATTTTTTATCTTATACTTACCAGCATTCTAATATTTTCTGCGGTTAACTAGAATTAAGATATGTTATAATATTATAGTTTTTTTTTTAATTTTAGCGGCTTCAACGACAACAACGACCGCACCACCAAGTAAGTTTTGCATCATTCTTAATAAATAATATATATATATATGTAATTTATGTTTTGTCTTGCGTGAAAAGCTGCATCAACCGCTCAATTATGTCCTACAGCTACTTGGAATGCAACAGTTAATGTTCAAGCTGGATTGACATCAATTTTCGGATCAACAAATACTAAACTGTATAATCCAGCTAATATGTATTTTGATGGATATGCAAATATGTATGTCGTCGATACTAGTAATCATAGAATTCAATTATTCGAACTAGGTAATAATAACATTTTCAGAAAATGACTACAATGATGATGATGATGAGAACGAAACTTTTCTTGTTTAGGATCGGTTATTGGTACAACTGTTGCTGGTAATTCTGGTTCTTCTGGCACTGGATATTCAGAACTCAGCAGTCCATCTGCTATTTATGTCGATGCAAACAGAATAATGTATATCTTAGATACTTCAAACTATCGAGTTTTGAAATGGACATTAGGAGAACCAATGGGTTATATTGTTGCTGGTAGTCAATCGGCGGGTTCAGCATTAACTCAAATTTCAACAAGTAATGGTATGTTTGTTGACAATCAATATAATATTTACGTGTCAGACAACGGTAACAATCGTGTCACTCTATGGTTGGCAACTAATAGAACTGCCGGAATTGTGGTATTTCTTGATATCATCGTATAAATGCTGATATTTTTTTTTATTTTGTTGTATTGTAGGTGGCTGGTGGAAACGGTGTTGGTAATACACCGGCAAAATTAAATAATCCATGGGGAATATATGTTGATGCAAATCAAGCAGTATTTATAGCTGATCGAGGTAACCACAGAGTACAACGTTGGGATAATGGTAAGTAATAATAGATCAATTCTAGTCATCAAATTTGATTAATTCAATGAACATTTCTATAGGAGTACTTAGTGGTGTTACTGTTGCTGGAACAACTGGTAGTTCGGGTTCTTGGTCTTATCAATTTAATAATCCTACAGCACTCATAGTTGATCCTCTTGGTTATATATATGTTTTAGATTCTACTAATGCACGAATTCAAAAATGGTGGCCCGGTGCATTTTATGGATCAACAGTTTTTGCAGCATCATTTTCTAGTCCACTAGGAATGCAACTCGATCGTCTTAACAATCTCGTTATAGCTGATACAAATAATCATCGAATTGTTTCTTTCGGTCTTCTATGTCGTAAGTTATCGTGTGCTATCTTATTGTTAACTTAACCTTTTCTAATGATGAACAATAGAATATTCTAATCTTTCAAACCCTATTCATTTTTAAACTATCTATAAATATCATATTTTGTTCAATTTCAGCACCTACAACGACAACAACAGCACTACCACCCAGTGAGTCACACACACACATTATTTTTTGGTATAATATGAACTTCAATTTTGATTAAATAGCTTCAACAACATCTCAAATATGTGCCACAGCTGTTTGGAGTCAAGGTTCTTCATCGTTGGCCGGATTATCAGGAAATGTGGGTTCATCAACATCACTACTTAATAGTCCATCTGATGTTGCTTTTGATCGATATCTTAATCTATACGTTGCCGATACTGCAAATCATAGAATTCAACAATTTAGTTCAGGTAATAAATTTTTTTAATACGATTATTATTAGAAGGTTTTTTTCGTTTTGTTTAGGATCATTGATTGGAACAACAGTAGCTGGTGTGTCAGGTTCTTCTGGTAGTGGATATTCACAACTCAATAGTCCATCTGCTATTTATGTCGATGCAAACAGAACAATGTATATCTTAGATATGTCCAACTATCGAGTTTTGAAATGGACATTTGGAGATCCATTAGGCTATATTGTTGCTGGTAATCAAGCATCAGGTACAGCATTAACTCAAATTACGACAAGTTATGCCATGTTTGTTGATAATCAAAACAACGTTTATGTATCTGAATTTGGTAATCATCGTGTCACCCTATGGTTAACAACTAATACAACGGCTGGAATACTGGTATAGTCTTTTGATGATTTCATTATCTTCTATGGTTTAGTTATGTTGTAGGTGGCTGGTGGAAATGGTCTTGGTAGTACACCACAAAAGTTAAATAATCCTTGGGGAGTTTATGTTGATGTGAGCGGTACAATTTTCGTAGTTGATAAAAGCAATCATCGAGTGCAAAGTTGGTATTCAGGTAATGTGAAACATATACTCAAATATGATTTCGTTCTATGAAAATAAATGAATGTTTTCTCAGGAGCATTATCCGGTACTACTGTTGCTGGTTCAAGTACGGATCAAGGTCCTTATGCTTATCAATTTAATAATCCTACAGGAATTACATTTGATCCATTCGGTTATATGTATGTGCTAGATTCCGGAAATTCACGTGTTCAACGATGGCTTCCAGGAGGCACTTATGGAACTACAGTCATAGCTACACCAATGAGTTCTCCATCTGCAATTAAAGTTGGTCCTAGTGGTAATATGGTTATAGCTGATACGTCGAACTATTATATTTTATCTTTTACTATGACATGTCGTAAGTAATAGGAACTATTATGATTGTTTTTATATTTCTCATTATATGTATTGAATATAAATAGAATTCGATAAGAATAAATCTAGTTTCTATTCTTGTAATGATTTTTTTATCTAAGACAAAACGATAGTAAAATAGAAGATATCTCGTAAAATATTAGTATCGTTCTGTTCAAAAAAAGAATATTTATATATTTCAGAATCAGTTCAATAATATTACTTTTTTTTTCTATTTAAAGCACCAACATCTACAACAACGACTGTACCGCCAAGTAAGTTTTGTCATAATTGTCATAAACTAATTTTAAGTTGATATGAAATAGCACAAGGAACAACTCCAGTATGCGCTACAGCAGTTTGGGATCAAGCATTTAATACTTTGGCTGGAGCACAGTTATATTCAGGATCAACAGTAACTCTATTCAGTAGTCCATCGGATATAGGTTTTGATGGATATCAGAATATGTATGTTGTTGACACTGGTAATCATCGAATTCAACGTATTCCATCAGGTTTTAATCAAGTTTTCATATAAATATTGAAAGCATCGTTATCTTTCATATTTAGGATCAAATGTAGGAACAACAGTAGCTGGTGTGGCGGCAGGTTCTTCTGGTAGCAGATTAGCAGAACTCTCTTCTCCATATGCAATACAAGTTACTACAAATCAAACAATGTTTATATTAGATACAAATAATTATCGAGTTTTAAAATGGACAGTTGGCGATACATTTGGATTGGTAGTTGCTGGTGGTCAAGGTTCATGTTCAACATTCAATTGCATTGCAATAAGCTATGCTTTATTCGTCGATAATCAATATAATACTTATGTATCTGAAAGCGGTAATCATCGAGTCACAATGTGGCTTACGACGAATACAAGTGGTGGACAATTAGTATTTATTATGAATTGAAATATATTGATATTTTTACATAATTTTCTGTAGGTAGCCGGTGGAAATGGTGTTGGTAATACAGCAGATAAGCTTAATTCTCCATGGGGTATTTATGTAGATGTTAACGGAAGAGTTTTTGTTGTCGATCGAAGTAATCATAGAGTACAAAGATGGGATGTTGGTAAGTAACATATCTATTGTCATTTGATTATTTATGTTTATGATAATTGTTTATAGGTGCTGCTGTTGGTGTTACTGTTGCTGGATCAACGAGTGATTCTGGTCCATGGTCATATCAATTTAGTAGTCCAACATCAATCACATTCGATCAATTTGGTTATATGTATGTATTGGATTATAACAACGATCGCGTGCAAAAATGGTTTCCAGAGGCAAGTTTTGGAATTACTGTGGTCGCAGCAAGTTTGGCAAATCCACGTGCAATGAGATTTGATCGTCTAAGTAATATAGTTGTGGCCGATACAGGTGCCCATCGAATTTTATCATTTGGACTTACATGTCGTAAGTAAAAGAATATATTATAAAATCTATTGTTTAATTCATAGATTGCTCTATATATCTTTCTAGAAGAAAATCTTAGAAAAAAGGCACACTAATATGTTGCTATATATGTAATTTTCATTTAAAAAAAAATTATTTTCAAATTCTAAGAGAGATAAAAAAAAGAGACATAGATAGTGGTTGTATAAGTAGCACACTAACAATATGTTTTCATGAATTTTAGCACCTGCCACAACAACAACAGTAGTACCACCAAGTAAGTTATCTATAAGTTTTCATTACATTTTAAAATATAATTCTCGTTTGTTTCGTTTTATTTCTGAATAGCTCAACCGTTTGTACCATTATGTACAACAGCCACATGGAATCAAACATTTTATAATTTAGCTGGAGCCTTATCAACATCAGGAAGTACAGCGACTTTACTTGCTTATCCATATGATGTTGCTTTTGATGGATATGACTATGTGTATGTTGTTGATACTAATAATCATCGTATACAAAGATTTGCTCCAGGTAGAGATAAAATTTACAAAAAAAAACATATTATTAAATTTCGTGTACAGGCTCAAATATTGGTGTAACTGTAGCTGGTTTCTCGCTTGGATCTGGTACATCACGTGCTGAACTTTATTATCCATCAGCAATTGCAGTCACACCAAATGGAACGATGTTTATTTTAGATAATTATAATTTTCGTGTTTTAAAATGGCAAGTTGGAGATCAACTAGGCTATGTAGTTGCTGGTGGTCATGGTAATGGTTCATTATTTACTCAGATGGGATATAGCCGTGGAATTTTTGCTGATGATCAATATAATGTTTATTTATCTGAACAAACAAATCATCGAGTAACACTTTGGTCTGTTAGCAACACAACTGCAGGGCAATTGGTAGTTTTTGTTTGATATTGAATTATATTAATGTATTTTGCATTTATTTCTTTTTTTTTGTTTAAATTAAGGTCGCTGGTGGAAATGGTGTTGGTAACACAGCAGATAAACTTAATTCTCCATGGGGTATTTATGTTAATGTCAATAGAGCAATTTTTGTTGTTGATCGAAGTAATCACAGAGTACAACGATGGGACCTAAGTAAATAATATATTCTAGATAATTTTCTTAAATAAAATTTATAATAAATATTTACAGGTGCTGCTAATGGTATTACTGTTGCAGGATCAACAAGTGATTCAGGTCCATGGTCATATCAATTTAACAATCCAACAGCAATCACATTCGATCAATATAGTTATATGTACATATTGGATTATACTAATAATCGTGTACAAAAATGGCTTTCAGGAGCTATTTATGGTACGACTGTTATCATAGCATCGTTTAGTAATCCAACTGGATTGAAAATTCATCGTCTTGGTAATATTGTTGTCGCAGATGCATATAATCATCGAGTCTTATCTTTTCCTCTCTTATGTCGTAAGTAATCGTTATAGATAATGATGATATGTATTCATCGTACAAATTTAATATACTTTCATCTGAACTTTTAGCGGCTTCAACAACTACAACTACGGCACCATGTAAGTCAATTTTTGATAATAATAATAATAATAATAAATCTATCTTTACTCATTACTTGATAGTTCCAACAACAATTCCTTTATGTGCAACAGCTACATGGAACCAATCAATTTCTCTTGTGGCTGGTGCAACATCGAGTTTTGGATTTACAGCAACATTACTCTATAATCCTTATTATGTAGCTTTTGATGGATATCACAATATGTATGTTGTTGATTTTAACAATCATAGAGTACAACAATATCAAGAGGGTTCATTTATTGGAACAACAGTAGCTGGATTTTCACTTTCATCTGGTTCATCACGTTCAGAATTCTTTTATCCAGTAGCAATTCATGTCACACGCAATCAAACTATGTTTGTCTTGGATAGAGATAATTATAGAGTGCTCAAATGGCAAGTCGGAGATCCAATTGGTTATGTTATTGCCGGAGGTCATGGTGGAGGATCATTATTTACTCAAATGGGAACAAGCTATGATATATTTCTCGATTCTAACTATAATCTTTATGTGTCTGAAAATTTTAATAATCGAATAACACTTTGGTCTAATGGAAATACGACTGCTGGACGATTGGTAGTTTTCATTAAATCTAGATATATAGATCATTTGTCTGCTTTTGTTTTTTTTTTAAATTAAACTTTAGGTGGCCGGTGGAAATGGTGCTGGTAATAGTGCGGATAAATTCAATGGACCATGGGGAATACATGTTGATGCTTCTAATACACTATATGTCGTCGATCGTTCAAATCATAGAGTCCAAAGATGGCTTTCTGGTACGTTAATTTCGGCTTTATAATTCTTGTTTATTATATTTTTATTAACTACTTTCTAGGAGCAAGTCTTGGTGATACAGTTGCTGGCTCAACTAGTGATTCTGGTCCATGGTCATATCAATTAAATAGTCCTACAATAATTACAATGGATTCATATGGATACATTTATATAATGGATTCTGGCAACGGTCGTGTGCAAAAATGGTGGCCTGGAGCACCTTATGGAATCACTGTAGCAGCATCAACAACATTGGTTAGTGCCTATGGATTAGCATTGGATCCGTATGGTAACATAATTGTAGCTGATACAACAAATCATCGAGTCGTACGATTTAATTTACTGTGCCGTAAGTTATAATCTATATTATTAGTATTTGTCAGATATTTTTTTAAAGTTATTACACAACTAAAATATTACGACAAGAAAATGATTATGTTTTTGTTTAATGAATATTTTCCATAAAAAACTTATATTTTTTGAATATAACTAGAATTTTATAATTGTTTTTTTAAATTTCAGTCGCTAGTACGACAACAACTATAGCACCACCAAGTCAGTAATCTCTTTCTTTTCCTTCCGAAAAAATCCGATTTAAATGCATCATTTTTTTTTGATAATTAATAGCTCAACCATTTGTTTCATTGTGTTCAACGCCCAGTTGGAATGCATCTTTTTCTACTGTAGCTGGTGCTGCATCAGCTCCAGGTAGTATAGCAACATTACTCAACAGTCCATATGATCTTGCTTTTGATGGATATGATAATATGTATGTTGTTGATACGAATAATAATCGCGTACAGAAATATCTAGCCGGATCATTTATTGGTGCAACAGTAGCTGGTTTTACACTTACAACAGGTTCAACGCGTGCACAACTGTATGCTCCAACAGCCATTTCGGTTACACCAAATGGTACAATGTTTATTGTGGATGATTATAATTTTCGCGTTTTAAGATGGCAAGATGGAGATCAACTAGGCTATGTAGTTGCTGGTGGTCGTGGTCTAGGTTCAACATATGATAAGTTAGGACATTGTGGTGGTATATTTGTCGATGAACACTATAATGTCTATGTGTCAGATAATTCAAATCATCGAGTAACATTATGGTATTCTGGTAATACAACAGCAGGAGGATTGGTATTTTTCGTTAAAATTAAAAGAATTTTACAGGTTTTTTTTTGTTTTTATTTAATTATAGGTGGCTGGCGGAAATGGTGTTGGAAGTAGTGCAGATAAATTAAATTCTCCTTGGGGAATATATGTCAACGCCAATGGATCAATTTATATTGTCGATCGAGGCAATCATCGTGTTCAACTATGGATTGTAGGTTAGTAACATATAATGATTTTGTTAGTTTTTTTCTTTCATCCTACGATAATTATTTACAACAGGTGGAAATGCTGGAATAACGGTTGCTGGATCAACTGGGAGTGCAGGTTCATGGTCATATCAACTTAGTAATCCAACAACTGTCGCTTTGGATCAGTATGGTGACATATATGTGCTAGATCAAGGCAATAGCCGCGTGCAAAAATGGTCTCCAGGAGCAACGTATGGAACAACTGTTATATCGGCATCTATGAGCAGTCCATATGGTATGAGAATTGGTCGTCTTGGTAATATACTTATCACTGATACAAATAATCATCGTGTTATATCGTTTCCATTGATATGCCGTATGTTATAGTTTATATTAATATTATTTGTATCTTCTTTTAGTGGCGTAACTAAAATAGAGCTAAGAGCTACTCAACCTTATCATGTCTTGAATTGAAGAAATTATTCTAAAAAAAAGACAACTAATAATTTACTACTAAGAATATCTCTTTTTATTGTGGATTATCAAAGAACAAGTATACTATTATTATTATTATTAATAGGATTCATTTCTAATAATTATATTCATATAATTTCATATTGACTAAATTATAGAAAATCTCATCAGGAGAAAAACCTAATATCATGTCTAATAATCTATTAAATATTCAATGTGAATTAACTGTGATCTTGATGTGGAATATTGACATATTTATTAGAATTTTATGAATACCGTTCGATTAATCGCATCATGTTAAGATTTCATGTCGTTCTTTTTTTTCATCAAAACCGATGATTGTTTACAATTCTTGAAAAAAAAACCATCGTTTGAAGCGATTTACCCTATCTTTGCCATTGTGTTACAAATTTTTCTATTATGTGTTGTAAAAACGATGATTTCTACTGAAACAAACTGATTTTAATGTGTCACAACACAAGGTGTTAGAGAACGCTGCAATTTTCTCTATTGATTCATTCTTTCAACTATAAAGATTATTTTTGTTGCATCGTCTTTAATAATTAACAACACTCGTAAAAAAATAATCAAAAATAATTAATGTGACCAGTATCGACAGCTTGAGTGAACTCACAATTAAGAGAAAACTCAAGTTCGACTGAAATTTAGCATTTTTCTAAGAGTTCAAAAGTATTCATAGTGTGAAATAGTAGAAAAATTCAAGTAGAATAATTATGATTTACTGACGATTTTTTCATCAGTTATCATGATGATATGGAATATGTTCTTAGATTTTTATTTCCAATATTTTTCATTATCGTTGCTATTTCAATGTCTGGTGTCTAAAAAAGATCATTTGATAATTTTCATTTTAAACGAACATAATATCATTAGTAATATATGGACTATATAAGAAAATTTTATGAAGATAATTTCAATGAGATAACAATACCAGTATAAGATAATTTTCAATGTTACTATTTTCTGCAAAGAGAAACTTCTTTTCTTTTTGAGAAAAACTTTTCAAATCATATTAATGATATAATTTTGATTGTCTTATTGAAGAGAAATTCAATTTTATGGTTCGAAAAATGTAGGAGAAGAGCCTGAGTACCTATTTGTCCTTATTTTTTTTAGTTATGTCATTAACTGAATGTGTAGACAAATATTACTAATATCTTTCATTTTAGCACCAACTACTACAACGACAACAGCACCACCAAGTAAGTTTCAGTATTGTTTTTATTATATACAGTTGATGTTTATCTTCTTTTCTATTATATTAGGTCAAACAAGTGCTTCACTTTGTCCAACTGCAGCATGGAATTCATCATTTATTACCAGAGCTGGTGTATTATCGTATTCAGGATCTAGGGCAACTCTGCTTTATTATCCTTATGATATGACTTTTGATGGATATCAAAATATGTATGTGGTCGATTGTTATAATCATAGAATTCAACGATACCCAGCTGGTATACATATATATATATATATATCAGATATTAGTTTGAATAGTTGAAATAATTTTTTCATTTAGAATCAAATACTGCTCAAACTGTGGCTGGTGTTTCACTTACATCGGGTAGTGGACTTTCTGAACTATCATATCCATCAGCAATCTACGTTGATTCTAACGGAGCAATGTACATATTGGATACTTATAACTTTCGAGTACTTAAATGGCAAATTGGAGATCCACTTGGTGCTGTCATCGTTGGTGGTCGAGGTTCTGGTTCTACATTGGATAAAATAGGTTATAGTTATGGAATGTTTGTTGATAATCAATATAATGTTTATGTATCGGACAATGCTAATCATCGAGTAATAAAATGGCTTAATGGAAATACAACTGCTGGTATATTGGTATGATGCATTGCTTATGTATTTGATATTCATTTTTTCTTAATTTTCTTTGATTATTAATTTTAGATAGCTGGTGGTAATGGTGCGAGCAATACACCAGCTACATTAAATGGACCTTGGGGAGTTTATGTCGATAGTGCCAATACACTTTATGTAGTTGATCGTAATAATCATCGAGTGCAAAGATGGCTATTGGGTAAGTGTTTGATCTTATCTAATTGTATATTTAATTAAAAATATCGAATATAGGTGCTGCTGTTGGTGTTACTGTTGCTGGATCAACTAGTGAATCAGGCCCATGGTCTTATCAATTCAATAATCCAACTGCAATTATATTTGATCAATATGGTTATATGTATGTTTTAGATCAAAACAATAACAGAATTCAAAAATGGCTTCCAGGAGCAGCTTATGGAACAACTGTCTTAAGTGTATCAATGAATATTCCAATGGGCATGCAATGGGATCTATTAGGAAATTTGGTTGTAGCTGATTCGTCAAATCATCGAGTTCTTTCTTTTCCTGTAATATGTCGTAAGTTATACTAGATAGTGTGTCAAAATTCAGTTAAAATTAGCTCATATTTTTTCTTCTTCAATATTTTCTAATGAAACAACTTATTGTTTTTATTGAGTATTTGAAATAATTTTGTTTTTTTTGAAATTTTTTAGCCGGAACAACTACAACAGCTGCACCACAATCAAGTGAGTTATTTTTCAGTTGTTTTTTTTTTCAAAAATATATTTTTTCATTTGTTCTATTGAATAATAGTTCTATCAACTGTTCCACTATGTGCAACAGCTGTATGGAATCAAACATATTTGCTTAGAGTTGGCTCAACAGCAACTTTTGGAACTACAGGAACCTTACTGAATAGTCCATATGATGTCACTTTTGATGGATATGATAATATGTATGTAGTTGATACATCTAATCATCGTATTCAGATTTATCCACAAGGTTTGAATCTAGATTATTCTTCTATAATGATCATCTGTATCATTGTATATATTTCAGACTCAAGTAGTCCAATGACTCTTGGTATCACTGGTTCTGCTGGTTCTGCACGAGCTCAGTTCAACACTCCATATGCGATACGTGTTACTAGAAATGCGACCATGTACATTTTAGATGGTTCCAACTATAGAGTGCTTCGTTGGCAACGAGGAGAACCACTCGGTTTTGTTGTCGCTGGAGGACAAGGTTCTGGTTCAGCATTCACTCAAATAGGAACAAGTTATGCTTTATTTCTTGATAGTCAATATAATATCTATGTATCGGAATACGGTAATAACAGAGTTACTATGTGGACTGCAGGCAATACTACTGCTAGTGTTTTGGTATTCTTTTGTTAATGATATATATATTTGAACTCACAGATATTGTTCGTGATTATTACTTTTTAGGTAGCTGGTGGTAATGGTGTTGGTAGTACAGCAGATAGATTAAATGGACCATGGGGAATCTATGTTGATAGTAGTCATGCTGTATATGTTGTCGATCGAAATAATCAACGAGTACAAAAATGGAGTTATGGTATGTAGGACGTGTTTTTTTTAACAGTCTCTCATTCAAATTAATAAATAAATATTTAACACAGGATCAGTTATCGGTGTTACTGTTGCTGGAATGACTGGCACTTCAGGTCCATGGTCTTATCAATTCAATAATCCAACTGCAATTATGTTCGATATATATGGTTTTATGTATGTGTTAGATACTGGCAATAACCGCGTGCAAAAATGGTGGCCTGGAGAAATATATGGAATAACTGTTATATCGGTAACTATGAGCAATCCATGTGGCATGAGATTTAATCGTCTTGGCTATATTTTTATTGCTGACACATCTTATCATCGAGTTTTGTCCTTTGCCCCAACATGCCGTAAGTCTATGCGATCGAGAAGCAATTGTTTGTTCATATTATATTCTGTATATAATTGTATGTATTAATAAGTTAATAGTTTGAAACTAATCTATTTCAGTCAATTATTATCTTTAGAAAAATTTTCTAATATAGAGATAGAATATACAATTAAATATTATAATAAATTGAATATCTTCTTTCTTATTTTTAAGCTACTACAACGACAACTCCACCACCATCAACAAGTGAGTTATTTTTCATATATGTTGCATTCATTTCCTTCTGTTTTTCTTTACAATCGTAGCTCAAATGGCAGTTACACTTTGTCCAACAGCGACATGGAATTCAACGTTTACTCAACTAGTTGGTGGAACCTCACTTACAGGATCTACACCATATTTATTGTCTAGTCCATATGATGTGACCGTTGATGCATATCAAAATATCTATGTAGTAGATTATAATAATCATAGAATTCAACGATTTCCATTTGGTATATATGAAATATCATTTTCAAAAAGTTGAAATAATTTTTCTGTTTAGGATCTATTCGTGGTGAGACTGTAGCTGGTGTTTCAGCCTCTTTAGGTACTGGATTTTCTCAACTCTATTATCCTACAGCGATCTATGTTGATTCCAATGCAACAATGTATATTTTGGATAGTAACAACTATAGAGTTCTTCAATGGAACGTTGGAGAACTACTTGGTACTGTTATCGTTGGTGGTCGAGGTTCTGGTTCTACATTAGATAAAATAGCTTTAAGCTATGGAATGTTTGTTGATAATCAATATAATGTTTATGTATCGGAAAATGCTAATAATCGAGTGACAAAATGGTTTAATGGAAATACAACTGCTGGTGTATTGGTATGATGCATTGCTTATATATTTGATATTGATTTTTTTTTAATTTTCTCTGATTATTGATTTTAGGTAGCTGGTGGTAATGGCGTTGGAAGTACAGCAGATAAGCTAAATGGACCATGGGGAATCTTTGTGGATGGTAGCAATACAGTTTTTATAGTTGATCGTAATAATCATCGAGTACAAAAATGGGTATCAGGTAAATGTTTGATCTTATCTAATTGTATATTTAATTGAAAATATCGAATGGAGGTGTTACTGCTGGTGTTACTATTGCTGGATCAAATGGTGATCCAGGTCCATGGTCTTATCAATTCAATAATCCAACTGCAATTATGTTCGATATATATGGTTTTATGTATGTGTTGGATAGTAGTAATAGCCGCGTACAAAAATGGTGGCCTGGAGGCAGTTTTGGTACAACTGTGTTATCAGCAACTTTGAGTGGTCCTATAGGAATGACTATTGATCGTGCTGGTAGTCTCTACGTGGCTGATACAGGCTATCATCGAATCCTGACGTTTTCTTTATGGTGTCGTAAGTGAAATTAGAAAAAGAAAAGAAAAATTTTGGCATAATTTTAAAAAAAAAAGAACTAAGAAAATTTGTAATAAGAAATATTTCCGCAATATCAATCTTCTAGTATTACAATTTTATTTTAATAATTACTTTATGTATTGTATGAGTTTAAGATTATTTCAGGAGATCATGAAAAAACAAAAAATTGAAAATAAATAATAGATTAATATCGATCAATTATTTAATATCTTTTTTTTTCTATTTTTATGTGTAGCTACTGCATCAACAGTAACTGCGGCACCGCCTAGTAAGTTATTTCTTTATTTTTTATGTATTTTATCTTCTTGTTATGTTAAATAGCTCTAACAACAACTCTTATGTGTCCAACAGCAATTTGGAATTCAAATGTTAGTATCATAATAGGTGCAACGTCGCTGGCAGGATCTACACCGACATTTCTCTCTAGTCCATATGGTGTTAATTTCGATGGATACCAAAATGTTTATGTTGCCGATACTGCAAATCACAGAATTCAACAATATTCACCTAGTATCTATCAAATATTAGTTCGAATAAGTGAAATAACTTCTTTTTTTTTTAATTTAGATTCAAATGTCGGAAGAACAGTAGCCGGTGTCACTAGTTCTTCTGGTACTTCACTTGCACAACTCAACAATCCATCAGCAATTAGTTTCGATGCACATGGAATAATGTATATCTTAGATACATTCAATTATCGAGTTTTGAAATGGACCTTAGGTGATACTTTTGGTACTGTAGTTGTTAATGGTCGAGGGTTAGGTACAACATTGGATAAGATTGGAGTTAGTTATGCAATGTTTCTTGACAGTCAAAATAATATATATGTATCTGAATATGGAAATCATCGAGTCACCAAGTGGTGGGCAGGAAATAATACTGTTGGACAATTGGTATAAAATATTCTTTAATATAATTTATATTAAAATTATTTTCTTTTGTAAATTAAAGGTGGCAGGTACTTCAGTTCTTGGTAATTCTTCCGACAAGCTTAATTATCCTGTTGGAGTCTATGTCGATGCCAATAGTGTAGTGTATGTCTCCGATCGATCAAATCATCGAATTCAAAAATGGTCTCTTGGTAATTATTATCAATTCATTTGTGATTCATTCTGATTTAACTAATATTATTTTGTTTTTTTTAGGTGCAGCTATTGGTATTACAATCGCTGGACAGAGTTCTATTGCAGGTCCTTGGTCTTATCAACTCAATTTACCTACGGCAATCACATTCGATCAATATGGTTATATGTATATATTGGATGGTGGCAATTCAAGAATTCAACGATGGCTACCAGGAATGACTTATGGAGTAACAGTTGTAGCAGGTGCATTAGGTGCAACACCATATGGAATGAATTTCGATTTTTCTGGTAATATAATTGTTGCTGATACATCTTATCATCGACTTATTTCATTCATCGTAGAGTGTCGTAAGTAATTTTAATTTTCTTTTGTATTCTCAATGAAAATACTAAATACTTGACACTATTTATAGTAGAAAAATATTTCTTTTTCTTTTTTTTTTAAATGTTATCTTTACAGCCAATGCAACTACGGTTACTGCACCGATGCCCAGTATGTTGTTTTTTATTATTATTAAAACTCTGAAAGACTTCTAAAACTATTTTTTCTATTCTCTTTCAATAGCTTTACCTCAGAACATAGCATGTCAAACAGGTGTTTTTAATACTACCTGGATAGTAGCGGCTGGCAATCCACCTTCGTCTGGTTCAGCAGCAACTTATTTGAACAATCCTATAGATATATATGTTGATGGTAATCAATATATTTATGTTGCTGATTATGCAAATAATCGAATTCAAAAATTTCCACCAGGTTAAAAATAACTTCTTTTAAAATCTTCAAGATAAACATACTTTTTTGTTGAATTATAGCGGGAACAACGATAGGACCACCAACTGGACATACAGTAGCTGGCTTTACACAAACTGGTGGGAATGGATATTCAGAATTAACTAATCCAACATCAATATTTGTCGATCCTAATGGAGTCATGTACATTGCAGATTCGTCCAATTATAGAATTCAAAAATGGTTACCAAATCAACCATTAGGTTTTACTGTAGCCGGTGGACGAGGCAATGGAGCAACATTAGATAAAATTGGACTTGTTTATGCATTTTTTGTTGATAATTCTGGCAATATATATATATCGGAATATAGTAATCATCGTGTGACATTATGGCGTGCTTTCAATACAACTATTGGTCAACTGGTATTGTATTATTAGTTTTACATTCTTCTTAAAAAATTCATTTTTTACACTTTAGGTTGCAGGTCTTGGTAGTGCTGGTGCTGCGCTGAATCAATTAAATTCTCCTTGGGGAATATTTGTCGATTCAAATGCAGCAATATATATTTCCGATCGAGCCAATCATCGAGTTGTAACATGGAGTGCAGGCATGTTATCAAAGAAAATTTTTATTTTGTTCTTTATTGAAGTTCTTATTATAAATTTATTAAAGGTGCTACTAGTGGTACAATTCTTGCTGGTACAACAGGCTCAGCTGGATCATCAGCATCTCTGTTGAGTTCTCCTACTGCAATTACTGTTGATTCTAACAATTATCTGTAAATTCTAATAGAAATATAGATAGATTTATTTGTTAAAATATTTATTCCTTGTATTTAGATATGTTATGGATGCTGGTAATAATCGAATACAAAGATTTACTCCTGGTTCTTCAGTTGGTGATACACTTGCATCTATGGCTTTTATCAATCCAAGAGGAATGCGACTTGATTCGATTAGTAATCTTTATATTGCAGATATGAGTAATCATCAAATCATCTTATTTATATGTGGTAAGTAAGAAAAACAAAAAAATAATGAGTTTCATGGTTCTTATTTTTACATATAACTTCTACTATATATTCTTTTCAATAGTCTATAATGCTTCGACAACAACGATATCAACAACTACTACTACATCAGAAACTACCACATCTGCTACAACTACATCGACAACTTCAGAAACTACTACGACAGGTATTACTACGAGCACAACATCTACAACATCAGTAACTACACCTTCTACAAGTAAGTATATTTATTGTAAAATGAATTTCTAAACATATAAATGAATTTTAAACAAATTCGAGTTATTTTCGTTTTGTGATCATAACTTTTCTTTTGAATAGATAACAATCAATCAGAGTTAGAACAATCTAATCTTTGTTTTTCTTCATAGTATCGAGCATAACAAGTACAACAATATCGACTGCTGCCGCCGTAACTACAACAGGTGCTGGAGGAACAACTACAACAGCTGCTGGAGGAACAACTACAACAGGTGCTGGAGGAACAACTACAACAGGCGCTGGAGGAACAACAGCATCAGGTGGTGGAGGAACAACAGCATCAGGTGCTGGAGGAACAACAACAGCAGCAGGTTCTGGAGGAATTGCAACCGGTGCAGGATCAAGTCAGGTATATTGTAGAATCATAAATGCGAAATTTTCTTTTTAAGCATATTTCTGTGAATGTCTAAAACTTTAAAATTTTTACTCAGAGTTCGACGAATGTAGGCGCCATGGTAGGCGCAGCTTTTGGTGGTGCAGCTGCTGTAGCAATCATTGGCGGGATTGCTTTTCTGGCGAAAAAACTGTTTTCGTTCGTAGACAATATTTTTTCTTATACTATCTTCTATTTCTTTACTTTCTTCTTTAGGAAAACGACTTCGGCTGCTGTTGAAATGGCCACTACAAGCAAAGAGAGTTTTCCTCTGGTATATTATTTTAAGTGTTAATATTGTTATATTTATAGTGATAGTTTGTATTCGTCTTCACATTATAGAAAGTAGAAAATATGCAATCGTCACTGTGACGAACTTGAGGAGAAAAGTGTCCGTGAAGAGATATAAATAAAGACTTGTGACAAGATCAAAGGATTGTAAGGATAGTCTGGCAGGGTTACCAGATATGATAAACTTGAGGAGAGAAGTACCTCTGAAATAGTGATACTCGTTTTATTTGACTTCTTTCCACAACAAATCGTCTCGTTCACACACAGAACATACACTTCTATAGAAACGATAGATAATGAATAGTAGTCAAGCGTAGCGGTCACATGAGAAGGGAACAATCACAAAGTCAATAGAAAGAAAGAGATAAATGAAGATGATACATTTCGTTATAGTTACAACAATCATCTACATCATCAACGGGTCCTAATTTATCATCGAATGCTGGACCAAATGCTGATGGACGCAATCGCCCACCCGGTCAAATTAAGGTCAAGGAACAGTTCTATAATATTCATGTTATCAAATAACTTTCTTAGGTTTTTTTTCTTTTCACCGTATGTTTGTATTTTCACGTTTTTTTTTCCAATCATTTTCCTCTTTTTAAATATCTTTGAAGTATGTTGTACAAAAGACTCTAACAATTTTATCGATTACAATTCATGTACTTATGATCCAAAACAGTTATATCAAAAATAATATCTAAATAATCTTACATTGAAATTATTTTATCTCAATAGGTTAACAGCAAATGAATGATTATTATTGTTGTTGTTGTTGTTTCAAAACTCGCTAACAATTGATAAACAAATCGATGTTTGTTGTCAAAACTAAATATTATAGTATTAAAGTTTATTCTTCTTTAGATTTTTTTCAAAGAATAATTTTATCATAAATACTATCATCATGGCAAAGAAATTTTTCATATTTGATACTTTTTCTTAGACATATCTATGTGACAATTCAGTTTCAAATCATGTTGAGATTGGAATAGTATTTTGTAATATGATAATTAAAATATTACATCAATTATGTATTCGTTGAATAAATAATCTTTAAAAATATTGTCAATATATTAATAGAAAAACTTGTTTATTGATAATTTGATTTAATTGATTTTACTCTGTTTTTAAGGATGAGGATACACAATAGAGATCGTTATATTATTTATACGTAATAAATTATTCAACACCTAGTTTTTCTTACTGAATTGAATGTATATCTCAACAATTTATTTCGTCATGGGAACATGGAGTTATTGAATGATTAGTCAGATTACAATAATTGATAAAGTTTTTTTTTATTACTCTATTGATACAAGCAGGTATTCAGAATAAATACATCAAGTTCATCAATATAAGATTACGTTCTATTATGGAAAAACATTCCTTTACGTCAGAAAAATTTCACGCGCAAAAACAAAAAGAAAATGTTTATAAATCAGAAAATTATTCATAATTTATCTTTAATCCTTGATTGTTTCATAAGAAGGTATATCAATAAATAAGATTCAAATCAACCAACAAATGATATAGAAATCTAACATTAAATAAATATTATTTAATTATATAAGTAGAAAGATGAATTGTACAAATATTTACAAAAATCATACTATAAATTATTAGAAATCAATCAATTATTTTAGATTCACAAATTTCGAAACTTAAATACACTACCGTACATTAATTAATCGATGACTCATATAATCAATATAATAGAGCAGTCAAACTATTGAAATCTACAAAATAAGAATCTTATACTTAGTGTTTATTAGTCAATCTAGAAGAAAAAGAAAATAAATCGAATACTTATTCTTTAAATTATTTTTTAATATGTATTGTAAGTTTTTTATTTTTATCGAACATGAGTTTAATCTTTATTTCAATAAGTAAACAATCAACGAACAGAATATCAACATTAACCATAATACAAAACTAACAACAATAATCATACACGAATAAAAGAAAGTATCTGTATATATATGTAACGATACAGTATTACGTATACAAAATACGCAATAGAAATATTAGTATGTAACAAAAATGAAACTATCAAGGTCGATATCAATGTTTGTTTGATCCTGAGAGAACAGAAACGAATATAGAGAAGTTAGATGAAAGGAAACGAAAGAACGAACAATTTTCAATCATCGACAAGAACGAAAGCAACACATATACAGAAAGAGAACGAGAAAATAAACGAACATATAGATATTTTTTTTTGTTTTTTAGTAACAACAAATACTCACATATGTGATTCAATGTCACACATTTTTGTCAGCTCTTATATAAATGAATTACATTGCATTGTTTGTTAAGTTCTATTTTTATAAATGAAAATATTTTGCTTAAAGAAATTCTTTTGTTTTTTCAATTCATGCGCATATTCCAAATTCAATTGAATTCTCATGTCAACTATAATATCTACATTCATTTCTACAAAAACCTACGAATACATTGAAACATATTGATTTTTACAGAAGTAAATATTTAATTCGATTTTCTTTTATATTAATTTTACGGTAACTGGAAAATCAGCATTTGTTTACAGGAAAACCTACATTGAGAATGTGGATAGATGAAGAGAAAAGTCACATCCACATCTTCTTTGATAATTGTTTCTGAGTATTTAGGATTATTTTGATCAGATGACATTATTATTATTTAACTTTGTCCTATCGAATAATTAGCTTTTGAGATAAGTGCATTATCTACCATAAATATATTATCTATTAGTCATTTCGTGCTAATGCATTTAGTCATCAAAAGTATACATTTTTTCGGAGATCATTTTGTAGCAAACACATTTTGGTGATCAAAAAACAGTTTTTCTATATATATATTAGAGATATTCATGGCAGCGCTACCGCTGGTGCAACGGCGTGAGATGTTTTAAAAAAATACTATCGCAACAGCAGCAGCAGCAGCTTCTTTTTTAGAAGAATTGTAAAATTGCATGAATTTGTACTTGATTTGAACGTCTACAAGTTCGACAGTCAGAATCATGATGAATATGATTGATTCAATCTAACGGCGCTAATTTAGTCCAATGATGGAAGAGGTTTTCAAAAAATTTCTTTGAAAAACCATTGCGGTAGCGACAGATTTCTGCCTGCGATGAACATTTCTGATATATATTGATCCATCAATCTTTCAATTATTGTGAATCATCTAGTCGACAATTCTCATGAGCACTTATTTTTCTAATTTAAATCATCTGTATTTGAATATTTTTAACTATGATTATATTTTTAATCCTTAGTTCCTAAACTTAATGTTTAAAATTTTCTTATATACAAATATTTTTTCGAAAATAATGATAGTTATGTTTTTTAATGATATCCTGTGGTTTATCCACTTTCAAATGATATGAAGAATGAAAAGAGTAAATAAAAGAGAATAAAAAATAATTTTTTTGCAGAAATTTCGTTAACATATATAGAGTATTCCAAAAGTTTACTGTGAAAAACAATTTTGGATGCCTCATTAACATTTCAAGCTATTTACAATGTTTTTTTTTCCATATTATAGTATGTTCTTTAAAGTTTCAATTTCTGTAATTTCATTTATAAAATTTATTCAAAATGATTATTATTATTGTGAAATATGAAAATTCATCGTTTTCGAAAATATTTGAAAAAAATTCTAGAGAAAGTTCATTTTTGCATTAATTTATTTCGTTATTAATTCTTATTTTGAATTCCATTAGATCTTTATTACATATGTGTTGTTAAGATTCATTTTCATTTAATATTTATGGACAAATTATCAGCATAATGAAGTTTGTCGAATGTTTCTCCTGTAATTTTTGAAGGTCTTTCATAACTTAATCGGCTTACTATTATGGTAGTTTCACAAAAGAGCTGAAAAACATCTCTAATACAGTCAACGTGTAGTATTTGTATGCTGTATCCGACTAGGATTTTTCATTCTACAATGATAAACGACTTAAAACCTTCCTTCCATCCAAAAATTCAGTTTTTTTAACAAAAAGAGAACACTTATTCAAATAAGTTATATAGACATGATTATCAAGGTGTCTAGTTTGAAAATTCATAAGAAAGACTTCCAATCTTAAAAGATTTCGTCAAAAATCATGATGAGTTTCTAGAGTTCTCCAGCGACAAGACTAATACCATATGCATAGGAAAATTAGAAGCTCTATTACATTTACGACTCGTACATGTACCTTGAAGGTCATTCGATAAGATTCTAGATGAATATTTAATAGGTATGTAATAAAATCATATTTGATACTCATATTAGAAGGTTCTTCAGATTAAAATGTAAGAAAATTCTCGAAATTAGTTTTTATATAAATTGTTGAATTCCGAATAAAGTTTTTTCTAATAGTTTTCGTTCTAGAGAACTACAATTTTTCTTTTATTCTATTGGTAAATGCATTCTCTTTCGGATGAGCAGAAGGCATTTTGCATTTGATCTTCAATGTCAAAGTAGTCATAGGTTTTCTAGAAAATATCCCCTAAGATTTTAAGACTCACAAAAATGAAATAAAAAATTTTTTCCTTCATTAACAGCAGTAAGGAATTCTCTTTGAAATGAGGAGTACGAGTGCTGTAGCTTGAAGTATATTGAAAAAAAAAACATTTATACACACGAAAGTCATATTTTACACTCATGACTCCTGTACAGTGAGGTTTGGAATTGTGAAAATTTTAAAAATAGTGTACTTTCATTAGCCTAACATCTTTAGAAAGTTTCATAGAAATCTTATGTACTGTATCAAAAATCGATTTTTGGAGAATCTTAAATTCAGCCATACATAAAACTATTTGTGAGCACAGAAATTATATAGAATAAAACTTCAAGGAAAATACTATTGAACTGATTTGAAAGATATTTAAGTTTTGTTTTTTTTTTTCGTTCATGACGCACTTTTGAAAACATTCAATAATTCTCATATTTCAAATCAAGATAAACCTTGAACATATTTGATTTTTCTATAGAAATTACTTCGTTAAAGACTACACTCAGAACTACAATCAATAAGAATTTTGAACTAATATTTTCATTTATGTTAAAATTGAATTAAAATAAAAAGAATAAAATAAAATCACTGAACGAAATAAAACGTACAATTACATAATAAAAAGTATTTCGATGTTGTATTATAAATGTAGAACAAAACATTAAAAAGCGATAGTAAATAATATGGAAAACTCAATATTTATTAATGTTTATCAATTATCCGATGTAGTAGAAGACATGAAAAGTGAACTAGAAATTATCTAGAACAGAATGTATATTAATGAAGATTTTTACTTTGTTGTCTTGTTCTGAGAACAAAAACTTTTTTTTTCATATAAAAGAACAAAAAAAAAAACAAAATAAAGATCAACAAAATAAAATCATATCTGAATCAAAAATATTCACAGTTTGTTTTTACTCTGTTGTTGTCTTATGCCTCTTTATTGTTGTATAGTTAATTGCAATTGTTGTTCATTTGGTTGTGATGATGGACGAGTTGATCCTATTGGAATTACTTTAGGTTTAGGTACTTTAGCTAAAATTTCTTTCATTTGTTTTCCATCAATATTTGGTAAATCAGCATCATAAGTTGTTAATAATTCATAATATTTAAGTAAAAGTTTAACAATTTCATATATTCTTTCAACATCAATTTGTGCTTCAATCATATATTGTTTAATTATACCCATTTTATCACGACATCTAGCAGCAAGTAAAAGACAAGCAAGTGCTACTTCATATGGAGGATATAAAAGAGATGCATCAGTTTTTAATGAATCATTTATAATACGCCATGTACCTTCGAATAATGGTTGATCAATTTGAAATTCACGTGTATATGTATCTAATGAACGATAAGGATGATAAATAATTAAACAACAATCCATTATTTCAAGTAAATAAAATTCACATTCAAGTATATGTTTTATTTGATATGGATATTCATTGGGACCATCTAAAATAATTATTCATTTCAATGTTAAATTAAGGAAACGAAGAGTAAAAAATTTATTCTTCGAAATTAGAACATTTGTCTAAATTTTAATATGTTCTGTACGTTTGAAAAATAAATTTTGATTACATTTTCCAATTCTCAGAGAAAAAAAAATAGAGATATTCAGCAAAGAAAAATTTGTTAAAAATTCTTTATTCTATTCGATTTCATCAAATATCAAAAATGTCATCATGCTATCAACATTACTGTTTTATTTTCTATAAGTTTTGTCTTTCAGTATTTCATACACAATTGTCGGATCATTTTAGCGCCTTCCCATTCTACGGTACATATTCCTTGTATGTTATTGTTTCTGCTTATTGTGATTGTTGTACATTCTCTCTACATACAATCATGTATCCAAAATGAAAGGAAGATATATAGAACCATGTAATTGATATCCATGTTGGGATAACATGAATTTCGGTCCAGATCGAAAGTCATAGAAGACTTCTGATCCGGGTTTCAATTTTTCTCATTAAATTTTCTAAAAACTCAAAATCCTATAAAAATTTGATACACTCCGTAGTGCTGATCAATCTGATTTGATTCTATTAGCATTGATAGAGTCATTTGAGATAATTATTATTTGTATACAATAAGTGTCAACGTAAAAAGCAGAGCGCTCAATAGGACTACTGATTCACTTTCAGTTAATCAATGTTTCTTCGTAAATGTTGCGAGTTTTTTCAACATTTTTATTACATGTAAATTTACTTGTAAAATATATCTTTACATCTTATTTTGAAACATTGAAGAAAGTTCAATAAAAGTTCATTCATCACTTCATCGTGTATGAATACATACTCATACCTACTCATTTATGTTATTGCAGATTTCTAAATAGTTTGTTCAGTAATCTAATCGTTAATGATTTCAATTGAATCATTTCAATTACGAAATTCATATAGTACTTTTAATCTACTGACATACAATACCATCTCTCGAAATGTAATTGCTTAAGTCAACTACTAATGAGGTCGCAACAGTTAATGCTATTTCGATCTAACAGACCAAAATAGCGTTGACTATTGCGACATCACCAAGAGCTCTATTTGCTAATCAAAACGCTACAACTCTAGTATGATTTAAATTTATATTGTTAAGCACTATACCATCCTGTTGGATACTACGTTTTAATAAAAATTCATACTGTTAAGTACTACGGAGTATTTTCATAGAAACAAAGCTTTATATAAGGATTAATGAGAGAAATTCTGACTTAATCATGATGATAACGGTACTCTTTTAGTTTGTTATATGTATCCTTCAAATAAACTTGATATATTTATACTAATAAAAAAATGCATTCAAATATCATTGCACATATATCATTAGATTTATTATTTTGTGAATGATCTTAAACATTTCTAATATATTTGAATATGAAATTATTATTTCATCTGACTATTAAATAGATATCAATATGAACAAGGATCAAAAATAATAATTTAACAAAACAAAAAAAAATACCATTCGTTTCTTTCTCATTTTGATAAAATGTTTATCCTTCTTAAAATTGACTTACTTAGCAAATGTGTAAATTTTTTATATATAGTTGCAGCAGCATTACAAACTCTTTGATGATTAAGTGTAGAAAATTCTTCAACTTTAGCTGCAAGAAATAAACATGTTGGACAAAGAAGCCAAGGATCAATACTTTTTAATGGATATCTTGCATAAAATCTTTTTAAATAAATAATTGCTGTTGCTATAACTTGTTGACGAACTTTATATTGTTCACCAATATATTGAATTATATTTGAATAAAAAATAAGAATTTTTAAATAATCATCTTCTGTTATAGGAGATGAACCATTACTAGAAGGCCATGAAGCAATATCACGAAGACGAAAAGCTATTAATTCTTGACGATCAAATAACCATTGTTCAAATTGAGAACTTTTCCAATAAGATGCAGCCATTGACTTTTTTTTCTTTTTTTATCTAAAAATAGTATAAGCAGAAAATAAATGCTAATATAAGCAAATTACTACTTAAATCAAACTAACAACAAAAAACTTTATAATAAAACAAAAGTCAATAATTATTGTTTTTTTGTTTTTTGTTATTATTATTTATAACCTTTATCGGCAAGTTCTTGACGAACACGTAATAAATATGTTGGATCAGGATAACCAAAACTAAATATAAAGAATAAATATTTTTATAATTATATTATTTTAAATTTCTTACTTTTCAGATCCACCACTTATATTTGTCTTATGATGTATATCATTCCATGTAACAACATTATCTGCTCCTGTTGTTGTTGATTTACCTATTGTAAATACATGTTGATCATCAAAAGCTCTTCGTAATAATTGTAATATATATTTTCCTTCAATATTATTTGGTAAATAAGCTTTACGAACTGTTCCTGTATAAGGTTGACCCGGATATGGATTTAAAGGACCTTGAAAACCAGATGGAATTGTATAAGTTATTTCAAATGTAGGTGCTTCATTTGGTGTACATTGTTCAAGAGGAAATCCTGGTAAAGGTGTCGATATATAATTAATTGTCATTTGACCATGAGAAGGTTGAGGACCTTGAAATATAAAAGAAAAACAAAACACAAAATATATCTGTTTAGATATAATTGTATCTATGATATTATACCTTTATTTATACCATAAAGATATCCACATGTAGGACATGTTTGTTTTCCACTTGATTGTAACCATTTTGTAATACAATCAGTATGAAAACGATGTTGACATATAGGAAGCGTAGCATATGATGAACCCAAATCATCAAGACATATTGGACAAATGATACTTTCCATAGGTTGTGTATTGGATTTTACTAAATTGGATTCTATACAACAATAAGAAATAATAGTTAGTTATTTACTTCAAACATTTATTCATTATAAATAAATAAATAAATAAATACTAGTCTCATTAATACTTCTGTATGTTATTAATGATTAAATATTCTCTTTTTTTGAAAACCAATAAAATAAAATCATGTTAGAAAAAAAAACTATTTTTAATTTTTAATTTTTAATAAAACTTACTTTGTATTGATACTGGACTATCATCAATATCCATAGATAATGATTCTTGTCTATTACAAGATATGTTAAAATTATTCGATTTCAATTGTTGTTGTTCTTCAAACTTTTTCTCCCAATTATCACATATTGCTATGATAGGTTTTATATCCATTGGAAAATCATCAAAACTAATATTGGCCCATGAACGTAACTCAATAAATTTGCATAAAATACATCCTGAAGAAGAACATTGTGAACAATGTTTATGTCGATGATAACATAAAGATGTTCCAACATTCGATTTTATATCATTGCGACAAACTAAATTCGATATAATTATCAATTTCAGTTTATATGTATCTGTTAAATCACTGACCAGGACAAATATTATTCTTAGAAACAAATTCTGTTCCATTGATATACCAACAACAAGGACAAGCTGATTGACATGAACGATTATTTATTTTACATTTATTACAAATAATATGAGTTGTACAATTCGGTAACTGTTGTAAGCCAATTAATGGTTGATTACACCATTGACAAGATTGATTTTGTGAATTAGAACCCGTAGCCATCTGAAAGCACATTAATATGTCTCAATAAGTATATATGTATAAATCTATTTTTCGAAACAAAAAAAAATAGCGGGGAGAAAAAGCAACACAATATGTCATAGACGATAAAACGGAAGAAAGAAATATCACAGTAAATACAAAGATAAACTTTATGAATAAGTGTCCATGATTGTATTTGTTCCATAATAATTAAAATTATGTGAATGGAAGACATTGAAATGATCTCGACGTGATCGTTTAAATTCTTAAAATAAAAATTATTTTTTTATTTTAAATAAAAATAAATAAATAAATAAATAATTTAAAAAATTTTACTTGGTTCATCATGATTTTGATAAACATGTCGACAACATGGACAACATGGTTTTTCTTTAAACCATTTTTCAATACATTTTGAATGAAAACGATGTTGACATATATCAAGTATTTTAACTGGATTATTATAACTTCCGTATAATGGTTCAATACATATCGAACATGGTTCACGTTCAATTTCCATACGTTGTACACATATTTGCATAAGATAAAGAATATTTTGAATTCTTGGTTCATGTTCACGATATGATAATGAAAAAAATTCTTTTTTAGTTTCTTGACGAAATGAACATAAAATACATTTTTGACATTGAATACATAATGAATGGCCTTTATCATCAAATTTTCTTTTTTCATCTAATGGTTTAATACAACCAGCACATAAACAATCTCTTATTATCAATAGTTGAGCAAGATCATGCCAACATGAAGGACATGATGATTGGCATGCATGACCAGATAAATGACATGAAGAACATAAATTATGTTTTTCATCATCGTCTGATTTACAATATGTTATCTCATTTGACAATGTTTCTTTGTGACACCATGAACATTTAACCATCATTTTCTTTTTTTTTTATTGAAGATATTTGTACATTTAATCAGAACATTTCATTTATGAAATAATAGGAATAGGACAATACGCCTCCTCAGGATAATATATTAAATAACCAATAGGAATAGATTCTTTTTCGAAATATGATTTAACACCATCTATTGAGTCTCTTTTTTTTTTGTTTTGGAATTATTCATATAAATATATATTCTTTTTTTGCCAATATTACATTGATACAAGTAATCAATTTTATTAATAATGTTGATGATATGTTTTGACTATGTCATACTGTTTTTAGAGAAGAAAAACAATATTGAATATTTATCGAACTATATTTAGTAGTAGTATCGAGGATTGATAATATATATCTATGATTCATTGCTTCACTCTCCTACGTATAACCTCGAATATTCGATTGTTATTCATGTTTAACATTTATATATTTTGATCAATACTTGGATTGGCCAATTTTTTTTTCTAGATAATAAACTGGAAAGGCAACAAAAACAAAGTTTAACCGGAAATGCCAATTTTTTCATCACTTTTAAATTGATTATTCTTCAAAATCGAGTCAAAATTAAAAATTCATTTTAAGATACTTTTGTAAGTCGAGTTTCGTTTTCGTCTATGAACTATTTACTATTTGTAGGATTTTAATATAATTAATAATGGATTAAAAACTTAATTATGTTGAAGATTATTGTAGTTAATTTTCTTCGATAACTTAATCAGCAACTAAAATATAATTAACGAGATAATCATGCACACTTTATATTTCTATATTTTTATTTTGCATAGTTCTCATAAATCGAAATGTGCAGAATCCAAATTTTTCAGGTCTAATAAATCTGATTCGAGATTCGAAAAGCTTTTTGAAATAGCCATCTTATATGTCAATTATGTTTTTTTTTTTGAAGCAGATAACGTAACAAACATACATCTGGATGTATTTCAATACATTAACGTTAATGTTTTAATTTAAGTATCAATTTTCAAAATATAAAGCGTAATAAACTACTAATTAATTCATCTACGGAATACTTTTCTGATGATTAGGGAATCATATTATTGTTTCGAACTCAAGTCATTCATTTAGAAAAGTAAAAGTTCATAATTCAATATCAAAAATATTTTTTGAGAAGAAATTGATGATTTTCTCCAGGAAGAAAATTTGATCAATGATCTATCTGTTAATAAACTTGCTGGAAAAATGATGTGTGTTCCTGTTACATTAGTACCAGTTGAACATGTGTATTTCCTTATAACGATCTTTTAATGAGAACGAATCGTTCGAGTTTTTCACAAAGTATTTTAACATTTTTGAAGTATAATAAGACAGTGATTTAAATGTTAGCAAATATTTTTCTTTTAATTGTGTACAATTTTTTAAGTTTAGGTAAATTGATGATATTTTTTGTTTATTGTCTTGTGAAACTCTATGAAAGAGAGTTGTTGATTTTACTGTTCTTACTTTATTGATAGAGTTATAGTAGTTGTGTCATTTTATTTAATATAGAACTATTTTTATTTTGTTTTTGTACATCAACAAAAAAATAAAATAACAAGAGGACGTGTCATGAAAAAGTTATTGTTAACGTTCTTGATAAAAATGACACAAAAACGAAAACAAATGGCAAAAACAACTTGATTCGATTCATTTAGCCATGTAAAAAATTGTCAAACAGGCGTGACGATCCAGATTAACGAGTAATACGTTTCAATCTTACGAATGCAAGTTTTCATAGCTAATTTCTACTAATAGTAGCATATTTATATTGACTCGATATAGAGATTATAAAGATGCCAATTAATAAACTATTATGAAAAACTGAGTACAAATATATGAAATATCAGATTAGCAGAAACATTGAAAAGTTAACTGAAGTAGTATACACATACTTTAGTTTGAATAACAAATGTCATCTTCTTATGCATTTCTTTTGGAGAAAAGAAGAAGATGACAAAAAATTAAGTCTTGATTTAAATTAATTCTAAAACCTTCGATAAACAATTCGAAATGATTTATATAGAACAAATCTTTCTGAAATTAAAAAATAACTGTTTATCTCAACATGATACTATGCAAACGTCAGTAATCTTTACTTTCATCACTGAATAAGAAGAGAAATATTTATAACAAAATAAAATTGAAGTATAGAAATATGATTATCTTAAAACTATTACGACATAGAGCTTTTACAAATAATGTTAAACAATAGAATTGAAAAAGAAAAGAGAAATTTTCAGAAAATGAATATGATAGAAACAATAGAAAATAAAACTAAATTTGTCTTCATTGAAATTTTAGTATTTTCATATTTGTATCTTTGTTATTAAAATATGCAATAAGTTTCATTAAAATCTAAAAAAGAATAAATACATATTTTATTTATTTTCCTTTCAAAAGATTCATGACTATGATGATATTCTTTCAGTTAAATTCATTGTTATTTTTGCCACTCGTACTTTGAG